TGCGCGGCATTGTGGCAAACTTTTTCACATTGCTCCTCGTTATGAATATGCAACATTTATATAAATTGTCACGTTTATTGCAGTCAGACTCTCACGCTCTTTCTGCTTTTCTCTTTCCGCTTTGTTGTGTGTGTGGCTGCATCTGTCATTCTACCAAAATCTGAAAAGCGGGAAAATGTTGTTACAACAAAGCTGTATTGCAATACCCTTACTACCTTTTAAATTGTAAAATTTTTAAATGAAAGAAGGAAAGGATATAAATATTTTGCCAACGTAACTAGAGTTTTTTCCTTTAGAATTTTATAAGTTATATAAATTAAAATAAATGAATACAGTATTTCATAGCTACTTTTAAAATTTTGTAACCTAAAGAATTACCTCTAACAGAGTGTATGGATTGTTAACTTAACTTACAAACTCACCCTGGACACAGCCTGGTCTGCTGATGGTGGAACGCGCTTTTGTTGAACGTTGATTGCAATCATAATTTATAAATGTTGCCGACAGTTTGGCGGGTGCCACGATGTTGCTGTTGCAGTTGCTGCCGCCCATATTTCGCCATCAATAAATAAATATTATTTGTCTGTCTGTCTGTTTGGCTGGTCAGCCCTGAAAAGCGTACCAAACGATGATGGTTTGAGGAGCGCCAGCAGTCGCAGTCAAAGCCAAAGCCATTAGCAAGTGATTTGGTGACTTTCCAATCTAATTGAATGCTGCTGCTGCTGCTGCTGGACAAAGGAGGGAAAAAAATGTAGATAGTCGAAGCTTTAAGCCCAGAGAGATCACAAGGAGCACTTTAAACTGCCAGGCAAACGAAGTGGTAGTGAATTGTTTCAGTTTGCCGGTAGTTTTTTTGTTGTTTTTCATTCACTCTTTTGGCTTGCTTTAATCGCTGCCAGCTCAGTCTAGTTGCAAACTGTTTGCCCATCGGGTTCCCAGTCCACAGAGCTTCCATTTTCAAACCCGCTACCGTTCCCATTCGCGGGCTGGTCAAGTGTTGTGGTTGCCATTTGTTTGTGCCAGAAAGCCGCATCAGCAGTGGTTCTCGGGCTCTGTCTCTCCAGTGATTTACCATTGGGCGAGGGCTTGTGGGGGGCCGACGCGGCGTATGAGTGATGCGCCATGCATATTCATACACATTGAGATTCATTGTATTTGCGCTGCATTTCCGCAGTATTTTGTATTTTATCTGCTTTGTTCATGTTCGCTCTACTTACGACTTTTCTGCAATTTCTCTTTCGTTTTTAACGGCCCCAAAGAGTGGGGGTGTGGGGCGAGATAAGGGCGAAAAATTGGAGTGTGTGGCTGTCATATTGCTCGCCTCAGCTGGGGCTTTAAGCAGATTTATTTTCAATTAAACAAGCTCATAACTTGGCCGACAACTTGGCAAAAGTTGGCAGAGGCCGTTAGGCTGCGCGCAGGACACTGCGCTCTTGTGTGTGTGTGTGTGTGTGTGTGAGTGTTTGTCCTGGCTCTTGGTTCTGGCTTAATTTACGCCGCAAATTCAATTTATTTGAGATACACCTAATCCACAAAAGCAAACTTGATTTATCAACATAAATATTTTGCATACAATGTTCGAGCGTCGTCTCCCTTTTTCTCCAGAGACTGCACTTGGGTTTCGGTTTTGGTTTTTGTTTTTGATCCCTTTGTTGTTATTTTGTGCGAGTGTGTGTACTGAACGAAATTCAATTTTAATGCACTTGAATGGATTTGAGCAGCGCTTAGTTGACTTGATTACGAGCCTTTAGCTCCGGCTTCGGGTTTGGTCTCGGTTTCGGTCCACAGAATTTCATTTGCTTTATGGATTTTCCAATTCAGAATTCTGGATGGCCGAGACAATATTTTTGCCTCGTCTCTGGCAAATCAAACACTTCAACGAAACGAGACGAAATTCTTCAGACTTTTGTGAGAAAATTGTTTGTCAAGCTGCCAGAGCCAAGCCAACACAATGCCACGAAAGCCACTTGGCCATATCTGGCTAGTACTATTTGTCATAACGCATATAATTTCAAGAGCTTCTCTCGAGTTGGACGGAGTGGAGTAGCAAAAAGCATACATACATATGCAGATGCAGACTAAAATGCTAAATACATGCCAGGCAAAATGCTGATGATAATGCAAATGAAATTATTTTTACAACATTTACTCTCGGCCAGCCATGTTTCACCCAGATGTCCACGAGCTGGAAGCTCAGGCCAGCTGCAGTATAAATCATCATTTGCTGCTGCTGCTACTGCTTCGCTCCTCATTTAGATGTTTTGGTCCCTGAGAGGACACACACACACACACGCACGCATGTAATGTGCCAGGACATGGCATTAATGTCCTGCTTCTTCAGTGGGTTGGGATACTAAAAAGAGTGGGGGCACAGAAGCGTATACCTTAAAAAAGCTTTATGAGTGGGATGAATGATGTTATTTAAGGGGTTTCGGATTTATGAGAAGTGCAGAGAGAGGCCTTAAATTCTTTGAGAAGCGCAAATAAGGGCTTTAAAGTAAAACCCACAGATAAAGTGAATAAGATCTGTAAATTACTCTTCTTTATTCTGAAATTAAAGCAAAAATAGCTACATTTTCGAATCAGGATGTCGTGGTCAGTCTGATAAACTCCACAAGAAACACGGTATCAACTTACCCCTGGTCACTCGTAACAAAACAGCGACCTGTGGGATCTCTGAACACTGGCAACAAAACTAATAATGTGCCCCCGGGACGAAGGCCAAAGCTTCCTCGTAATACCATTTCGGACTTGTCCATCTCCACTGCTCATAAGTCATGCTGCAGAGCAAAAACAAATGCTCTGTCAATTGTCGGCCAGCCGCAAATGCTATAAAGCTGACAAATGTCGAAATGCCGCACAGATAGCTATGTATATTCGAATGGGCACAAAGGGGGACACAAACAACACGGATCACAGGTACTCATAAAACTGTCCAAATGTCAATATTCCCGGACCCACGGAACTGTGCAAAAAAAATACTTTTTGGGCCCCGCGTTCGCTTTGATTTGGTTCGCTGACTGACTGCCTGGCTGATGGGGCTGAAAGGGAATCAAAAGCAGGAGGAGGAGAAGCAGGAGCAGGACTTATTTGTTGCTGTCTGGAAAACACCTTGGCCAAGCAATTTCAATTTTCCCCACAGCCGACAACAAGAAAATGAACATGTCAACGGCACACGTCGGATATGGACTTGGATTTGGCTTTGGCTTTGGTTCTGGTAAAGGGAGTGCACTGGGCGAAAATGTTACTAAAAGTTATTTCTATAATATATTATAAAATTTTGAAAAAATACTTTGTGATCTTTACCAAGCTAAGATATATGCATTAAGGTGTGAAACTAAACATTTAAATAATTTTAAAAAAATATTTTATGAGGGTTTCTTTAAAATACATTTTTTCAAAGCTTTTCCTTGACTTTGTAGTCCCTATTTTTTCTCTCCCTGCACATTTTTGTGGCTCGGTTAACCTGTCGGCTCTGCTCGGCTGCTCCGATTCGCTGCGCCTCGATTCGATCCGATTCGATTCGGCATTCGACGTGTACTTCTTTTTTTTTGGCAACTTTGTAAATATTACAAAATTTAGGTGTCTCGCTTGGTGAGTGCGCCAATGAAATATTTATGCACACACACACGGGCCGCGGCGAATCTGTGTGCGAGTGTCTCTGTTTGTATTTGTTTTTGCACGAGCCTCGCCGTCCCCCCTTTTTGTGCAAATACAAACCGTCCAACCATAGTCACAGTCGAAGGGGATTCCTGGGCAACAGGAGGAAGATGGACGAGCGGGCTGACTGACTGGGCCTGCCAGTTGTCTGATAAACAGACAATTTGCCAAAGTGGATACGTGCACGGCGCGTATAATTTCGGGGCACACCTGAGCCCCCGTTTCAGGGTCCGGCTCCCTAGCCTCGCCAGCTTTTGGCCTAGACCCCGAGAGGAGCAACAGGAGCAATACAGCTTCACTCCTCTCTCTCTCTGTGGCTGTATTTTGCGGTTGTGGACTTTAGCTTGATGAGTGTATCTCTGTGTGTGCGGGACTGAGTGTGTGCTTAGTTGGTTAGTTTGGCTGATGAAGCGACATTGACAGGCCAAGTGACTTTCATTCTAAGCGGCTTTAAAAGTGCCCAAAAGAAGGTTCAGTTTAAATGGAGCTAAAAGGACACAGTCGAAAGCAGATGTTCTAAGGAATTATTAATGCCCAACTAAGTCTGTAATTACTACTCTTAGCTAAGAGTTTATGGCTAGATTATTTGGCATTTTAAATGAAGATTGGTTTGGGTTTCCAAATCATTATTGTCAGGCCAAACTTTTAACATTTCCATATGCTTAAAAAGTTTCCAAAAAAATCTAGTAAATTATTTTTGATTTGAGTTTGTAAATACAACGTTGTTTAAAAGGCATTAAAAACTTTTTTCCTGTTCCCTAAACTTGGTAATGAATAGTTATTTGAAATCCCTAGAGCCTGAGTCACACTGCCTGCCATTTCAATTTCAAGTTTGAAATTTGAAAATTCGCTTCCTCTGCTTTCCGCCCACACACAAACACACACACAGCCGCTGGCCATATAGAAGAATCTCCGGCGTAACTTTTACGATTTTAATCGCGCAAATTTATGGCATTTTTCCTGCACAATTTCCCCGCGGAGCCACCTACATGCAAATACATATATTTGGAAATAAATAAATGATGAAAACAAACACCCAAAACGCACACAAAGCAACAGCGCCTATAAAACTAAACTTTGGCTGGCCAGATATATATATGTGTGTATATCTGAATCTGCATGTTCCGATGGAATATTCAGGCAAAGTCAGCGCCACCGCGAATTCGGATTTCAGATTCGGGTTGCCGCTCATAATTTTTGCAGTTGCAGCATAATAAATTTAAAGCCCCAGTCCGGCCAATTGGGCATTTTGCGCCCCTGAGTTATGGCCCGGGCAAATCGAAACGTAGTTGATTGATGGCTAACTGGGCATGTTTTTCTTTCTCGATTGTTTTTTCCAGGTTAACGCTGGCAGCTTGTCTGAGCAGGCTGGCCTGCAGCCCGGCGATGCCGTGATCAAGATCAATGACGTGGATGTCTTCAATCTAAGGCACAAGGACGCCCAGGATATTGTGGTGCGCTCCGGCAACAATTTTGTCATCACAGTGCAGCGGTAAGTTGAAAGAAATATCTTTTTAAAAGCGGGAAAAAAGCAACCTTCTAATGCTTGATTTTTTTTTTGTCAATCCTTTAGCGGTGGTTCCACCTGGCGGCCGCATGTGACGCCCACGGGCAATGTGCCGCAGCCCAACTCGCCGTATCTGCAGACGGTGACGAAGACCTCTCTGGCTCATCAACAACAGGACAGCCAGCACATCGGCTGTGGCTACAACAACGCGGCCCGTCCCTTCGTAAGTGTACTAATTTGCAATCACGCAAAGTATAACTCCCTCCCTCATACCAAGTCACACCATGCCATCATGCCCATCCCTTGGTCACATCATTTATAAAATTCATAAACTGGCAACCCGAAGTTGCGAATGCGGAAAGTTTTAGTGGCCCAGCTGATGCTGACGTCCTGATGATGACCAATGATGTTGATAGTTAGTTCTAGACCGCTATCCCAGCCCCCCCGCACTTTGCGTTTATTTTGTTGTCTGTCTGTGGCTTTTCATATTCATTCATTTCATTTTCGGTTGGGTTAGGAGGGAAGAAGAACTAGAGCCCAGAAACCCCAAACTCCGAACCCTCTGTATGAGTTGACAACATTTGCATTTATACGATGTCTGTCTGCCTGACGCTCGGTTTGTTTGTGCGTAGTTTTGAAAAGTGTCAGAATGAGTAATGAATATGAGTGCTAGGATTATTTGCCTGGCAAGAATTAATGTGCAAAAGGTCCCTGCACACCCACTCACACACACACTCATCTGTGCCCAGGCCATGTTATGCCATGCATAGTAATGCTCAATGTCTCTCTCTATGGAGGGTATACATGTGTGTGATATGCATACATTTACGTATATTTTATTGTTATGAATTTGTATAATAATAGCTTCAGCCAATGACAACAGCAACAACAGACATTAAATTGATTTGGGATCATTTTAAGTGCCAAGTTTCAGGAACAACATTACATTATGAGAGTCATAGGAAAGGCAAAGGCAGCAGCTTAATGTGATTTAAGGCCCTGTAAATGGCAATAGTTCTGTTGAAATTGTATTGAGATATTGGTAAACACCTCCGGCTTTGGTGTATATAATTTTATATGCGAATAGCAAACAAACAGGCAGCCAAAATTATATTTGGAATTAACCAAGAGGCTTTATTTAAATCAATATTGGGTGAACGTAAAGGGAAACAGTTATAACTATGATTGAAGGCAGCTTATAGCCATAAATAACATCTTAATGTAAAGTTGTATTAAAAGAACGGAAGCGGAAATACTAGAATTGTCTGACAGCTGGACTGCCAACTTGTTTCGATTTAATATCGATAACAAAGTGTAGGGTTGCTTTTGACTCTGTTTAATTTGAATTAAAGTTAAAAATCCAAGTTAAATCTAGGTTTTAAATCCCTTTTTATAGCTCTGGCTAAAAGATCAAACGAATTAAATTATAAATGAACACCAAGGTTCAATTTCAATCAGATCAACTTTGTGGAAAGTGCAAAGGAATACCCAGCAATTGAGAACAATAATTCCCAATTACGATAAGTGCGTGGGGGAGACTTTTGTTCGTTTTCTCCATTCATTTTACGAGAAACTTCGCTCATTTCACACACACTTTTTTCAGCCCCGGCAGAAGTTCCCATGTAATTTCCTTCTCCCCCTCTCACACTTATTTTTTTCCAGACCAACGGCGGCGATGGCGGCGTGAAGAGCATTGTCAATAAACAATATAACACCCCGGTTGGCATTTACAGCGATGAATCTATTGCGGAAACACTCTCGGCTCAGGCGGAGGTTTTGGCTGGCGGTGTGCTCGGGTAAGTTTTCTGCCAGAAGAAAATTTTTCTAGGGGAATGGAGGGAAGAAAGGGCAACAAACAACAGTCTGGGCCGCAGCCGTGACAGTGCAAAATATCTGGGAAAAGTTTTACTTAAAAATGTTCCCTTTTCCGACTTTGCTTTGCTCGGAAGAACAAAAAAAATATAAGAAAAGAAAAGAAAGTAAGAAAAAGCAGAACGCAAAAACAACCGCAGGCCGGTCCAAGCGGTGAGTGCAATTTGGCAAATGATAGCCATGGCTGTGGCTTCTGTGGAAGTCGCGGGGCCAAGTGCTTGGTGTTCGGTGCCAGTTGTCGACTTTGGCCTGGGAAAAACGCACGCGTGGGACCGTGGCGCGCGCCTTTAGCGCTTAATTTCTTTGGGGGATTTCTGGCCAACGCGGCGGATGCGTAACAATCTTGTTCTCGCCACTCACTCACTTAGTGCAGCATACTTTCGGGCCGAGTCCAAGCAGCGAGTGTTCTGCGCGCAAAAGTGTGCTACAAACCAAGCTAGAGCCCCCAGCTTCATTTACTTTTGTGGAGTCCCTAAGATTTTCAGCCAAATTGTGGGAATTTACTTTAAATCAAAAGGGGGTCTTGGTTATCCGGCATTATTTAAGAATTCTGGGACTTAAAGGGAATGAAGTTCAATTTTCAGAGGTTGTGGGAAGGCAATTATAGAGCTTTAGCTCTTTTAGATTAAATAAAATGTAATAGCAGATAATAAGGAGCATATAAACAATTCTAAAATATAATTTATCTTTCCTCTTCCAGCGTCAACTTCAAGAAGAACGAGAAGGAATACCAGGGCGATCGCTCCGAGGTCCTGAAGTTCCTGCGCGAAGAGGAGACCGGCCAGTCCACTCCAGGTAAATACGAAGCCAACTATGAGCTGGCCCGCCTGCTGCTCCTCCTGAACGGCGGTGTCAATCCGTTTGTGAGCGATGGCCTGGGCGATTAGAACAGGAGGGGAGAGGAGGGTAGCTATATGGGCAGTCTGCCAAGTTTTAGCCAATCTTTATTTTTAAAAATGCCCAGCAGGGACCTTGAAATTTACGCTGTGTAATGTGTTACTAAATTGTTTTTGTTTCTTTATATGTCGTTTAACCCCATTAGACCAGCAAAAGGAGATGGACTTTCGTTTTCTCTATGTGAAGACAAAGTTCTAGTCGCCACACACAGTCGAAAGTCTACCTACCACCCAGTCATGTCTATAAAAATATCTATATATATATATATTATTAACCAAAACAATTTCAAAGTCACCTGCACGGACCATAGAGAGTCGTAGATATTAAAGTATTATTTTGAGTCATGTGAAGAGGTTTATAGAGCTAGAAAGTTTGATAGTAGATGGTCAGAAGGGGGTCATATATACACATCTTAGTAGTAATAGTTTTCAGTTGTTTATATTTGTATAATTTTTATTAGATTTGTTCTGGAGGTATTTTTAGAAATGTTTTACCTTCAAAATAAGCTTTGTTAGAGTGTCATTTCTATCCCTCATTGACTGCTAAAGTTTACCCTAAAGACACAATCATTTCTGTCTATCTTTCTGTCTAACTCCTGTTTGTATTTAAACTATTTTTCATAAAACACTGCGTGCCACATCACAAAACTATACTACACATGCACAGCATTCGGCAACTATGAGCATGATGCACCACAACAACAATATCAGGCACCACCACAACAACAACAACAGCAACAGCAATACAATCAACAACACTATCACCAGCAACACCAACACCAGCAACAATCGAGCGCCACTCGCCATGTCAGCGCCCCCGTGAACACCCCCAAGCCCCCGAGCACCGGCGGACTTCCAACTGGCCAGAACATTTGCACCGAATGCGAGCGCCTCATTACGTAAGTGTCGTAAAGATTGGAATTAACAAACCTGTAAAATAATCTGGGGTATTCAATGGTCTTGTCAAAAGGTTTCTTAATTGGAAATAGTTAATTAAGGGTTTGTTTTTATGTTTAAAGATCAAAGGAACTGCATAAACTGATATGATTTGCTTGAGATTATAAATTGTTTGTAGATTTTCATGCCATTGGTAAAGCAGAGAACGGTTTTTATTGACTATTAACTAAAATTTTCCCTAAATTACTTTGAATTTCTTTAAATTATTTTTTTTTCTTTATCAAAAGCTTTAACGAATCAGTTTTAAATGAACTTTTAAACCAATAAACCCCTTAAATTGTAGTTCCTCTATAAAAATATTAAACAATCTCTTAGCTAAACCGATTTACAAGCTCCATTGAATACCCGGTCATAAGTGTAAATCAGCATTTGTGTATGCACATTGACTAACAGCAAGAACAGCAGCAACAGCAGCAGCAGTGCTTCCTCATTAGTAACTAATTCCCAGCAATTAGTGGGAGGGTGGCTTGAAGGTTTCAGTTTCCAGGAGCAGACTCTAGGCAGGTTTCCACTCATGAATTTACCAAAAATAACTGACAGAGTTCTTCCAACCCACTGATAATCATTATGATGCTGATGACGATGTAGAACCACACAGTCCCGCCAACTTTTACTGGACACAGAGCCATGCCATTGGCGGCAACGAGCGACGCACTCCGTTGCACCATCAGCCGGATGAGCGGATTGGGGTGCCGCTGCAATCGAACACGCTGGCGCCGGCAGCTCCGCACAGGCCCAGTCTGCCAGTGGCCCCCAAGGATAAAGAGGAGCAGCCCAGACAGGATCAGGAGCAGCCCGATCCGCGCATCATTGTGTTGCCCATCTGTCCAGGCCTCCAGGGTCCCGAGTACAAGGCCGAAATGGAGGCAGCGGCGGCAGCTTTGGCCAGCGGCCAGGATGGCCGGCCACGTCCGCTCTCCGCCAGCGGACATCCGGCCTGTCAGTTGTGCGGCGTGGGCATTGTGTAAGGATTTGTTGTGTGCGTGTGTGTGTGTGTGTGAGCCCGCCGTTCAATGATAATTCATTCCCTGCCCCACACCGCGTGTGTCTGCTGCATTTTAATTCGCTTTTATTTCGAAGTCAATTGTCTGCCATACCAACGCACTCCCTCCCGCAGCACCTGAGCTGGGCCACAGCTTATACAGCTCCTGATCCAGACCAATGGGAACCATCATTTGTATTAATTTGTATGCCAATTTAATTGGCTCGCCATCGGGGCTTAATTCGATAATGCATTATAGCTTTTTACATATTTCTCGCATTACCTCCCGACATGGATTCACTAACAGAGATACGCTCGAGGACTGTTTCGCTGTGTGTACACAAAAATGCACTGAGAGAGCTACTATAAATCAGTAGTAATCAATCATTGATTGAGTGTTTTATTCGGGAAGCTGTTCAGAGGAAATAAATTAAACTCTTAATAATATAATTAATACCTAAGAAAAATCTTTTTCATACCCCTGAAGAGCTTCTCGAATGGTTCTCTTTTAATCCCTATAACCTTTCTAATGACTTCATTCCTCCCCTCACCCTTTCCAGTGGCGTTTTCGTCCGCATCAAGGACAAGAACCTGCACGTGGAGTGCTTCAAGTGCGCCACCTGCGGCACCTCGCTGAAGAACCAGGGCTACTACAACTTCAACAACAAGCTGTATTGCGACATCCATGCCAAACAGGCGGCCATCAACAATCCGCCCGCCGGCACCGAGGGCTATGTCCCCGTACCCATCAAGCCGTAAGTGATCGGAGAGTAATTCCTCATGTTTTCTATGATTTTCTTATTTTTTCTTTTTGGGTGTCGCTTGCACGGCCAATTGGTCAACGAAGGGGTGGGTGGGGTGAGGGAAGAAGGGCACACGTGAAAATGAAATATAAATAAATTCAGAGCATTCGCTATATGCCGAAAATATATACATATATGCGTCTGACATGATGGCGACGAAAAATCGTCCGTGCTCAAACCGGGTATTTACATACGTGCTAGAGCGCCAATTTGTAATGCTCTTTGAGAGGGTTCTATGGGTTTAGGGTAGAGCTGGAAATAAAAATCGATTCTATTACGATTAATTGATTTTTTCTTTTGATTATGCGATACATTGATAACATTTTTAGAATCGATTTAATCGAAAAAGTTCTATATTTACTATATGTAAATTTGTATATTTAATTTGATATTTAAAAACCAATATCTATAGATAAAATGATCCATAAAATTATTATTAATCGATTTTAATCGATTTTCTTGTAGAATTTTTTTTAGAAAAAATCGATTAAAATTGATTTATTTCCAGCTTTAGTTTAGGGGGTTTGCTTTTCCTTTTCGTAATTTAAGAAAGTATATTCCTTACGATTTTATATCGCACAATAAAATACCTCCTTATGTATGGCGTTACTCATCTTGTAGATTATATATTCTTTGAAAAATGTTATAAACTCAATTTTAACAATTAAATCCCCATCTTTAGGGTATCCCTTTAATAACCAACTCCCTGTCCAACTGTATCCCTTTTGCCTTTTGTGCTGTTTTGCATTGGTTTGTCCACTCTTCTCTCGAAATATTTTGAAATGAAAGAGGCGACACTGATTGCTCTGCTGACGTGTCATCGGCTGTGCCGCAAATTTTTAATAAATGAATTGGCAACATACAGTATGTCAAGAAACAGTTTACACAACGAAAATAAACTTAATTTTTTGACTTTGCATGCAAAATTAAACACCTTCTTTTCAATTTTATAACAATTTTTTAATGCAAAACGATTCATATGTGTTTGCTTTATTAATTAAAGGAAAAAACGAAAACATAACATTCAAAGAAACATAACAATAAACTTAAATATGAGATTACACATTTTTTCTTCTGTCAAGAAACTCTTTACACAAAAACTATTTTCTTAGTTTAAATCTAAATATTAAGAAACCTTTTCTATTTTTTTCTAATATTAATACTTTGTATGACCCCCCTTAGCATTTACTACCAGCTGGAGACGTTTTTTCATGGAACTGACTAGTTTTGGTAGGTCATATTCCAACGGAAGCTTTTGCCACTCTTCAATTACTGCCGTTTTGAGCGCTTGGCGGTTTTTGGGCTGCCTTTTTGCCACTTTCTTCTTCAGATACGCCCACAAATTCTCAATGGGGTTAAGGTCGGGGCTCTGAGGAGGAGTGTCGATGACCTTTTGGCAATTATAAAGGAGCCATGTGCGCACAGTGAGCTCCTTATGCTTGGGGTCATTATCTTGATAAAACTTAAATGCTGGCTTATTATCGACAATCAAACCCAATTTCTCCGCACTTTGCCTCAAATTTTGTTTGAGGATGGAGAGATATTGCTCAGCATTCATTGTGTTTTCAATAAACGCAAGCTCTCCCACTCCCTTGCTGCTTATGCATCCCCAAACCATCACCGACAATTTGCCAAATTTTACTGTCGGAATTATGTTGCGCTGATCAAGAGCTGTTAACGGTTTGCGCCATACTCTGGTTGGTCCATCGTTGTAGTATAGCATTATCTTTGTTTCGTCGCAGAATATGACGTCATCCCAATATTCCGCCGGCTTGCTGACCATGTTTGCAGCGAACTGTAAACGTTTTTCAACGTTTATTGCTGAAAGCAAAGGTTTCTTGCGAGCAACCCTGGAGGAGTACTTGTGTCGCAGAATGGCTTGACGGACTGTTTCGTGCGAAACAACAAGGTCACACTCTTCCAGAAGCTCCTGGGCAAGAGTTCTCGTCGAAATTTGAGGATTTTGAAACACCTTTCGCATCATTATCCGGTCTGCTCGTTCTCCAATCTTCTTTTTGCGGCCGCCTCCATTTGTTGTTTCTAGCCTTCCTTCGTTTTCCGCTCGATTTATGACATTGTAGATGGTTTTCCGGGAAACGGAAAACATTTCTGAAAGCTCCGCAGCAGATTTTCCCAATTGATGATTATAGAAAATCAGCTGGGTGATCTCGAACGTTAATCTTTTGCCAGGCATTCTATAAATGTTTATAAGCTCCTTTTTGACGCTCACGTTGGCCTATTTCGCAACCAAATGAAAGAGACTGCCAAAATGACGCTACATACTAGGCATACATAGCGGGGAAGTACCATTTTCTTCTTGGAAAATACTAAAACAGTATGCGAAAGCGATCTGTGTAAAGAGTTTCTTGACAGTGTTAAAATTGTGTAATCTAACTTTTTGTCTTCTTCTTAATTTTCCTTTTTATGTTTTGATTTTGTTTTTTGACTTAATAACTAGGCATACTCCAATTAATAGTATGGCATTAAAAAACAATCATAAAATTAAACAGAAAATGCCCATTTTTGCATGCAAAGTCAAAAAATTAAGTTTATTTTCGTTGTGTAAACTGTTTCTTGACATACTGTATGTGTGTGAGCCACGAACTGGGAATGCACTTTCCCATATAGATCGGTGTAATGTGTGAGGAACAAACCGCCTAGAGAGGGGGTGTTGTCAAAAATATCCGGCCAGTGACAGTTGGCAATTTTCATTTGGCATTTGGAATTTGTTTGTTGGGGTTTCTGTGCGTTCTGTTTGCCAATTTTAAAACGATGTCAAATTAAAGGCTCTCCTCAGGGGGGCAATTAGGCGACTGGCGACAGGCAATTACTGATCAGATTTATATATATATTCTATATTTATGTACCCATGTATTCTTTCACCCACAGCAACACCAAGCTGAGCGCCAACACCATCTCGTCGGCCTTGAACTCGCACGGCTATGGCGGCGGCTCCAATGGCTACTCCAATGGCAACTCCACCCCAGCCCCGGCACCGGTAAGTGAAGATTGCTTTTCTACCTCTACTCCTGTTAACTGTTTCCCGGCCGTGGCTAAAACAATGTCAGACACTCACCAAAAACACAGATATATGTATGGATATAGACACAGACAAAACGAAGGCGGGGGGTTTCCCCTTGCCAGCATCTTGAACCCTGCTCTCTCACCTGCTGACGCTTTGCTTTGCCGTCTGGCTACATTCAATTTTATCATATTGCCAGCAAAAATGTTTGCATAAACTCAGCACATTTTGCCCGGCAGCTACCGAGAGCATCTCCTCCGACATATGCTAAAATGTTAAAAATCATCTTTGGAACAAGACGAGCGAGAGTCGAAGAGAAATGCAATATAATGCAAAAAGTTTTACCAACGCAAAAGAAGTTCAAACATCTCGGGCAAATTTTTATCAAGAAGCGCTTCTTGTTTACTGTTTTCCTTTTTTTTTTTTGGTTTTCTTTGGCCACAAAGCGATCAAATGAAAATGGAAAAGTTTTAAGCAGCACAGAGGAAAATCTGTCTGGGATATATGTGGATAATTTTAAAAACCTATATAACATTTATATATTTTATTAAAATTATTTCTTGTAAAAGATTTTCCTATTTTTGTAATGCCTTTTTGCCTGTGTTTCTATATTTTCTGTCTGTGTTTTTTGTGTGTGTAAACTGTTTATGTTTATTGCTTGAAATTATTATTTATTTATTTAAGTTTTTGTTGGTTTAATCTACGGCTGATTGGTTAAGCAATAGATCAATGGGACTGGGGTTTCATTGAGGACCGAAGTCGAACCTCTAGTGCTTCCCCCTTGGCACGGGTCTTTACAAATCAAACCGATCGACACGGCCAGATTGATTGCAGTGAGGGGTATAAATAGTGTTTGATATATATATACAATATATATAATAGTATATTTTACTATTTTGTCTAGTTTTCTGTAGTGTTTCTGCCGCGGCCAGCGCATTTCGCGAAAATGTGCAATGGCTGCTGAAAGCTAAATATATATGCCAAGCGCTGCTTTTTACTCATTCCGCCGAATGTTCTTACTATTTTCTTTTTTTTAGGTTTTTTTGTTTTCGTTTTAAAGTCTATAAAAAACATACAGCTGCAGCGGTTTGTCAGCTTTTTGGCCGCCGTGGCCTCAGTTTCGTTGCGCCCTGTGCCCAGTGCGCATCTCTCGTTCCCAAAATCTCGTCCGTGTCCGCGAAGTGTCCGTTGACTGTGTCCGCAGGCGAGCGGACAGCAGGACAGGACAGTGTCCAGCTGGGAAAACTTAAATTAGTTAAACGACAATTAACAACGACCAGCGAATCAAGTGAAAAACGACTCATATTTTCAGTGATCTTTGAAGTAGAGAGTTCCCAAGAGTTTTCTCTGGGGAAAAGGTTGCATAACCCAGTGCGAGTGCATTAACTCAATGGGGGGGTTTCTTTAGCCCGCCCATTGACCTTGACCTATTAGCCATTTTTAGCACACCCAACACACACACACACACACGCACACTCGGTTATATACACACAGGGGCTTACTTCATCAGCCGTAGGTTGCGTGCCACTTGCATTCCGCCTGCATTTTAATTAACTGCCTTTGTTTTAACCCCCCTTTGCCTGCCTGTCTGCCTGACTTTACCCGCGTCCGCATTAACCCCATTCAGCCTGAGCCCGAGACCAGTCAGGAGCTCCCTTTGCCACCGCCGCCCTCGCCCACCCAGCTGCTGCAGTACGAGGCGGAGGAGCTGCTGCAGCAGCCACCTGCCCCGGAGCAACAGCTGCCCTCCGCCCAGCTCCAGCAGCAGCAGCAGCAGCCGGAGCAGCACACGCGCACGCACAGCAGCCTGTCGTCCATTTCGAGTGGCTCCTCCTCCTCGGGAGTGGGCGGCAGTGGGAGCGGTAGTGGTGTGGGCCAGAGCCAGCAAAGCTACTGCTCTACGCTGTCCCTGGATCGTTTTGGCTCGCCCCAGCACTCCCGCCAGACATCCGCCTCCTCCACATCACTGGAGGTGGTTGCTGCTCCGACTACCGCTGCTGCTGTGGCTCCTGGACAGGGCGATAATTACACAATGCCACCATCGCCGCCGCCACCGCCTCCTCCGGCGAATGCCGTGACGAATTACAGGCTGCAGGCAACACAGCAGCAGCAGTTGCAGAACGAGAACGATATGAATATGCAGAACAAGGGCCACAACGCGTACAACCAGCTGCTGAAGGAGTACTCCAACAAGCTGCAGCATCAGCAGCAGCAACCCAACAAACAGCACACCCACCAACACACAACAAACACACCGCCCACACTGAGACACAACAACAACACGGCCAAGCCATTTGCAGCGTCACAGCAGCACCAACAGCAGCCGCTTGTGGCAGCGCTAACGGCGACACTTGCTAATCAATTGAAATTTAACCCACATCAGGTTGCAAGCCCCCAAGCAACAGTAACAGCAACAGCAACAGCAGTAGCAGCAGCAGCAACACCTGCCCCAGTAGCAGCACCCTTAACTGCAACAGATAGCTCAGCAGCAGCAGCAACAGCAACAACAGTAGCAACTTCAGACATTATGTCGGCCAACGTGGCGGATGAGCCGTCTTCTATTTATGGCCAAATCAACACGAACCCAGCGCCCTCGGCTCCTGGCGGTGGTGATCAGCCTTTTGAGTATGTGACGCTCACCGGTAATGTCATACGCAGCGTCCAGGCGCCAGGAAAGGGAGCAGCTCCGGGCTACAAGGTAAAACACATAACACCTGTCCTGTCACACCTGACCTGCTAAGGTCAAGGACAGTGAGCGAGGGTAGGAAAAATAGAAGATAAATAGGGGAAATTATATTTAGAGGGGTTTCATAAAGAAATTGAAACTTAAACTTCAATTATAAATTATGAATTTGAAATTTTTTTCAAGAAGTGAGAATAATATTACATATAATACCCTACCTTCGCTCACTGTTCCCAATCCCCAAAAGAAAAACCTCAACTCTCAACCCAAAAAGTAAGTACCAAGCTCTGTGCTCCGCTCAGCTCGCGCCGCACCTCGCTCAGATCAGCTCTGATTAGTCCCAAAAAAAAATTTAAAAACTAACTGACCAACTTGTGTTAAGTGTTGTACCGTGTTGGCCATGAACCGGAATAAAAAAAGACTCTTTCAGTCTTTGATTTCTCAAAAAAAAAAACATAATAATAATAATAAAACACTTGCCCTCTCTCTTCAAAAGGTAAACCAGGGCTATGCTCGTCCCTTCGGAGCTGCCGCTCCCAAGTCGCCGGTGTCGTACCCACCGCAGCAGCAGCAGCAGTCGCCGCGTCCCGCTCCCGGTGGCCAGAATCCCTATGCCACCCTGCCTCGCAGCAATGCTGGCCAACAAGGTAAGGCTGATGACAACGGCTGTCTGTCAGAAGGTGAATGGGTCTAGTCGCTTAAGCCAATGAGATTTTTTTGTACCATATAAATATATACATGTATATTGAGGCTCCAGTTAAGCCTTAGCCTTAGCCCTAGCCCCCTGTTGTTAGCCCCTGCCCCCTGATAATGATGATGAGAGTGATAGACAGACGATGATATGTTGTATAGTATTAACCGGATTTCTGTTTTATATATATATATATACTTTTATTGATCGAAATAAATTGCACATGACTTATCGAAAGCGAGCACCAAAAACTAACCAAGAAAGAGATACAAGTCCTCAGATTATCGAAATTATCGAGATGCTTTTTGGCGAAATTTACTAAACAATTTTCCGCTCGTTATACCTCCCATGCCCCTGCCCCCTGTGATCGCCCCCACGTGAGCAACTAAATGAAAACTATTTGGCAACTGTGGCTGCATAAAGCATTTAGCACTAGACTATTAGACACTACCCTACATTATATATATATACTATATGTTCTCATGCTGTGTATGTAGGTCGTAATGTAAGGTACCAGCAGCAGCAGCAACAGCAGCAGCAGCAGTACAGTACTCAGCAGCAGAAGCAGCAGTATAGGAACTCTTACCCCATGGGATCTAATTATAGCACCCCGAGTCAGTCCCCCTACATCACCTCTTACAACACCAACAACAACAACTTCAACAACAACAACAACAACTATAGCACCTACAACAACAATAATAGCGTTTATCGAGGTAAAGAGCTAGCAGTTGGCATTGCTCCTTAGCTAAAAATTACACTTGTTGAGTGCGAAAGCTGCTTTAAAGAGCTGCTGTTTGCCTTTAATATATATCATATAGCTGCTGTAGCTCATTCCATGGCCTCATATACCCATATATATACATTATATATTGGAATTCATTCAGGTGCAAGGCACACATTGCATTAGCAGACATCTCGCCCCCCCAAACAGAAACAGAAATCCCCTCGTTAATAATGGAAATATTTCGTTGACAAACTCAATCAATAGGTGGAAACATTTTAAAATGTGTTTATCATTATTATATGGGCCCAGACGGGAAATTAAAACTGACAATGGCCGTTGTAACCGGCGAAAGGAGAGAGACAGAGAGGAGGAGGTTTCAATGCCAATGCGATTGCCATCTTCCACTTCCGTGTGCTGCTGAAAGGCTGCGAATGCAAATGGGAAATCGCTGGGAAAATGCAAACCAAACCGAACCGATCCGAAAAACCCAAAACCCAAATGAAAGAGCAAACCAAACCGATACGCTGCGTATACGTAACGCGCTGCGAGTCCACCGAAACGAGACCCATTCATGTACACAGAAATAAATGATATAAAATGTATTTGGTTGACGCTGCTGCCTCAGCTCGGGCTCTGGTTCTGCCGGGGCTCCAGCTATGGCTCTGGCTCCTGCTCTGGTTGTTGCAATTGCGGTTGCCACCGCTCCTTTGCTCGTTTGCCAGTACAGTATAGCTTTAAATGCAGCGCAAATATCCCGTCAGGGAAAACGAAGAAGGCCGCAGACAGTGTGTCAAAAAAAGAAATTGACGGGACAAGTCAAAAAGCTGGGAAAGGAATAGGGATATTAGGAAATAAATGTTAAATTATAAATTGTTGTTTACCGTTTACTGTTATGTTTCCATGTTATGTTTGTTGTTAGTGTTAGTCCCTACGTTTTATAATCATTGATTTGGTTGATTAACGTATAATTAAATTTGAACTTATAAAAAAAAAAAAAAAAAAAAAAAAAAAAAAAAAAGGAAATAAATGAAGAATTATAAAGAAAAATTTAATATTTTTTTTTACATAATTGAAAAATAGTAAAAAAGAAGAACTATAATGGTTTGAATATGTCATAAGTCCTCTTAAAAATTAATATTAAATTATTTTGAGCGTCTTTTAAGCTTTGGAATATCATTAATATTTAAATCGTTATAAATCCCACCTGTTCATCTTATTTCCCCACTCACTGTGCCTGCGGCTTTAACGAGAACACTTCAGGGCCTCTGGAATACCAGTAATTTCTGGTATTTTTTCTTCCTCGTCCTACGCACACATATCCTGGCTGGTGCTGCTCCTCCTCCACCTCGATATTTGTCTGTTTGGTTGCTTGTTTGTTTATCAATTACCGTGCTCGACGATGCTGGCCTGTCATAACGGAAGTGAATTAACAACAAATATGGCGACGCCCCACAATTGCACTCCAAATTTATGGGGCAATTTTCGCGAGCTACGCCACCTTCGTTAAGCAATTAAAAATGCAATTAGTAAGGGTGGAGAGTTCAGAGTTCAGAGCTCAGAGCTCAGAGAGTTTCCTCAATATAATAAATCTTCATTCCGCCAGGAATCAATCTCCTAATCAAAGCGAAAATCACGCACACAGCCGCAGCAATCATTTGGGGTTTCGGTTTCCTGGTTCTGCGGCATATATGAGCTTTTTGGCAAATCCAGTTCCAATTTGCTCCACCCCGAAAACAAAAAAAAGAAAAACAAGGCAAAGAATGTGCGCTGGCAAACAAATGTTTGCTTGAATGCCGACACGCACGAGGGGAAAGCTTGCTGTGGCAGCGGGAAATGTAAACGTGGGCAGATAAATTACCAGCCATTATTATCCAACCAAGAACAAGCATCCGCCTCGGTATTTTCCTCCCTCCTGCACATATTGAAGCGTGCCGGGTGGCCATACATCACTTGACTCTGGCATTCGTCAGGCGGAGATTTATAGGGCGGCAGGCACACTATTGTCCTAGGCTGGGCTCTCATTTTCCCATAATCCCACGAATAACCTTTGTTTTGGTTTCTGCTTCTTTTAGGTTACGGTTACCAATACACGTATTAGAAAGCCCCAAGCCAAAATGCCCCTTAAGAAACATACACACCACCCACACACATAAAAAGGCGTGCAAAGTTTTGGCCAAGTTCTGGAAAAGAAATATACAACAAATATTATAAATAAAATCAAAATTGAATGTGGAAACCTATGAATTTTAAGCAAAATAAATTGCAAAAACTATATCTTGAAAGAAAATACTGTTTATAAGAATTCTATAAAATCCTTTATAGTGTAAAATGCTTCTTGCCTAACTGCATTCCGCTTAAAGCGCTCTGAAAAAGTCTCTTTTTAGGTGGAAACACCTCACCTTTTATATCTTTCTAAGTGCTACTAATCGAACTCTGTGTCCCCCGGCTATTCTAAGAATTTCTTTGCACAACTTTGCATGCCTTTTGTCTAAAAACAATAAATGGGAAAAGTACAGAAAATACAGAAAAATACAAAATAATACGAAAAATATTCAGAAACAGCTAGAGAAATAATAAACATAAAGCAGAACTTTTGGGTGGCCTCTTATTATGGCTGAAAACTTTTCTGTGGCTGCTGCCAACAACATTTTTGATATGACAAAATATATTTGTGGCAATAATTTCGTTGCGTTTTCGCTTTTTTTCGGTCCCTTTGGTCCCTGCTCTTGGTCGTGTGTTTCTGCCATTTTCAATTTCTGCAAAATTACAGCCAATACCGAATTATGCATAATAAAATCCAATGACTACCTGTCGACGCCATTTTGCTTGCGCACAGCCAAAAGGGGGGTTCGTCCTGCTGGTCCTGCTCGTCCTGTTCTCTCCCTCTCCTTTTCGAGGCAGACGTGTTCCCATAAAAAATGGAAGTAAATATGCGTGCCTAGCGGAGGAGGAGACCCTCTGTACGTACGCGTGTGTTTATTGTTGCTCGCCATGAAAATGGCTCTGAAAATAAGAAATAAAAAATTTATTTGCCTCGGCAAGGGGCATAAAACGTTTCCTCCTCCGACGACGACTATTGTTGTATCGCATTTAATATTTTCCCTCTTTTATACACGGGGCCAGCGATATACCGTTGTTTGTTTTTGTCTGTCAACAAATTGTGGGGGAGGGTTTCTGTTTGGGTTGCTCTTGGGTGAACGTAAAAGTTTTCCGATCCAGTCATTGCCTTGCTTCGATTGAGTTGCTTAACCAGCTTATGCCATCTGACCACTCGAACTACTCCAAGCACCCTTCGGACCATTACTTACACCAAGAAAGGGAGGGTGTGTGTGCCTCAGGTGTTGGCCTGGGGCATCCCTGCTTTTAGCCAGTATTTTGTAGTTTTTTAAGTTGCCTAAAACCCACCACCACCTACTGAACATACACAGAAAGGAGTTGCTCTCGTTTTTTGCTGCCTCTCTTGCCCAGTAGTTTTTAGTACCAGTTGCCTTTATAGTTTCTAAAAAGTCTACGTATCTGCTGCTTCTGTGTCGCCGCTGATCCACTCAACCACTGATCCTCTGCTGCTTTCTCAGTGCCAAGGACTAACAAGCGCTTGTCTTTTGTTTCTTTCTGCTCTTATATTTGCCCCTCTCGAAAAAACTAACCCAAAAAAACACCAAAAACACACACACGTACACTCCGCCCCCCACACCTGACCCTGCTGTTTGACCCTTGACCTTTGGCGGCCTTAAAAAAAGAATGCCCAGAGGAACTGCAGCCTGAATACGAGGAGGAGGACTGCTATGAAGTGGACATTGAGGTGGCCATGGCTGCCAGTCGGCAATCCCACCGTGGCTCTAGCTTTGTGTGGCCGCCACCGCAGGATGATAGCCACCAGGCGCCCACCGCTGCCCCGCTATACATACCTCCCCCAGAAACCCAGCATGTGGTGGTGACAAATCCCGTACAACAAGTACCTCCTCTGCCACCTGGAGGATCAAACGGTAGACAACTAGATCCGCAGCCTCAAGTGGCTCAAGCAGCAGCAGCTGCTCCAGGAGGAGGAGCTCCCCAATGGCAGAGTTACTCTGCCCCTCAACTAACCAACGCCCAAGCCCGCCAGCTGGCGGAGCAGGAATCCAGCTCGGAGAGCTATACCTCCACATCGACCACAACGACCACGACCTCAGAGGAATACCAGCGAATGTATGCCGCCCAGATTCAGGCCTATCAGGAGCAATCCGGCTCGGAGTTTGACTACCAAGTGGACTATAACAGCACCCAGGACTCGATGCAGGAGTATGCCTCCGGCAGGCGCAGTGCCCAGGAGTGCGTGGACTCCCTAGCAGTGCCGCTGAGCACCTACAAACTGATCGACATGGTAAGGGAGGTGACACCCAGCCCCGTGACCACGCCCGTCCAGACTCCCGCTCCTACCGCCCCAACAACCCGTCGCGTTGTGTTCAACGACGAGCCCGAGATCAGGGATTTACCTCAACTGCCCGGCGAGCTGGAGACCATACCCGAGGCCCTGGAATCCGTGGAGGATCGTGAGGGTCTGGTGATCGAGCATCGTGCCCAGATCCTGGAGAGCGAACGCATGTTCCAGCCCACGCCCGAGATCAAGTTTGAGATTCCCCACGTGAGACAAATACCGCCAACCAGGATACCCAACCCGAGTCCCAAAGAGTGGATTAATCCCATGATTCGTGTGCTGACCACAGCGCCGGAGGTTCCCTTCCACCTGGTCGAGTGTCCCTTTCCCAGGCCCTGTGGCGATGACTTTGAAGCGGAGGCTGAGGCCGCTGAAGCTGCTCGAGCCCAAGAGGTGCCGGCACCTGTTCCGGCTCAGCAACAGCCCCCTCCTCCTCCACCGGAACCTGCTCCCGTTGAGCCGCCGCCGGCTTCTTTGAGAGAGTCCCCACCCCGCGGCTCCCGTCTCACCCAAGCCATGATCACAGCCCCGGAGTTTGAGCTAAAGTTTGCTCCGCCCGCCGATCAGGGCATTCCACTCCCAGAGGAGACCGTGCCCTACATGCCACCGCCCATGGACATGAAGCCCTACCTTAGGGAAGACTACCGACCCAAGTCGCCTTTTGTCAGTGCCCTCACCACCGCTCCCGACCGCCCGTTCGAGGGTCACTTTGACAAGGACGTTCCCATCCACCTGATTGACCTGCCCACTCCCAAGGAGCACCTGACCATGGGCGATGCCCTATGCACCGCCCCGGAGCGTGGTTACACTCCCCTGAATCCCGAGAATGCCATGCATCGCGTGGACGAGGAGCAGAAGCAGCAGGAACTGAAGAAGCGTGAATTTCAGGTTTTGGATCATGAGGAAGAGCTGGGCATCCGGCCAGAGCCGCCGCAGTCCGTGGAGTACTATGTCACGCAAAAGGAACAGCCCCGCAAATCATCTGCCTTCGCGGCCATGCAAGCATTCCAGCCATCCCGCGAGCCGCTCTCCTCCAACTCCAACTCGAACACGGTGTCCAATGCGGCCAGTGTGGCGGCCACTCCACGGGCTTCGATCATATCCTCCCTGGCGGAGGCGGACACGGATCTGGAGTACCAGAAGTACTGCAAGGCGCAGCAGCGTAACCAGAAGCGTTTGGAGTACTTCCACATGAAGGAGGAGGAGCTGTCGGGTCTGCAGGGCCAGCAGCTTACCCAGCTTCAGCGAGAGTTGTCCAACCAGCAGCAAAGTCTGCTCAGCCAGCAGCAGTTGCAGCAATCCAAGCTGCTACAGCTGCAGCAGTGCGTCCAGAGTCAGGAGCTGCAGCAGCAGATGCAGCAGATCAGCCAGAAGTCGCAGCAGCAAGAGCAGCATCTACTGACCCAGCAGAATCAGCAGCAGCAACAACAGTCCCAAGTTAACCAGAGAACCCAACAACAGCAACACTCCCAAGTCACCCAAAGAACCCAACAACAACAACAGGTCTCCCAACAAGTCACCCAACAACAACAACAATACTCTCAGCTTGCCCAGACCCAAACCCTTCAGGCCAGCGCCCAATCTCAGAGTTCCGCTACCGCCTCCTCCTACAGCTCCAAAGCGACTGCTTGCTCTAACTCCTCTTCCACAGTCCCACCTGCCACTTCGACCGCTTATGCACCTACTCAGGCTCCAACTCAGGCTCCAACTCAAGCTCCTGCACCAGCTCCTGCTCCCGCACCAGCTCCTGCTCCTGCACCCCTTCGCACACCAGCTATCGCTGTATATAGTAGCCAGCAGAGCAGCAAGTTCGATGCCCACGAGCTGATCGAGGAGACCGTCGAAGAGCTCGAGCACTCGGAGGTCCTGTTCCCGCCGCCTTCCCCGCTAAGCCACCTGACCAAACATGGCAAAGCCGTACAGTCCGGCCTCCACAAGGCGGACAGCATCCCCAAATATCAGCGCAATTGGACGGTGCTGCCCACCCAGAGTCCCATTCGCACCCCGGAGCCGCAGGAGCTGCGCGAGAACGTACCACTGGCATTTGTGGACGCCCCGAAGGCTCCAGTGACCAGCGATTCCTCCACTGTACATAGACCCATTGCCATAGTCCAGGTTGCTGCGCCGACAGCTGCGACGGCTCCAGCTCCGGCTCCTGCGCGACCGCAGCTGTCGGTGCCCATTATTGTCGAGGATCGATCGGGTCCAGTAACGATGGCTTTCCAACCGCTAGACGAGTTCGTGCGCCCGGACCAGGCCCAGACGCCCACCAGGCCGTATACGCCCTCGCTGACCAACAAACCGGCGCCCATTGTGCCTTTTTACCAGACGGAGGAGAAGCTCTGCTTTGACGAGTGCCCGGCCACCCATGCCAGGGATTATGACCAGGGGGCGGCCTCGCCTTTTCTGGACAGAGCTCGTTCTCCGGCACCAGGACCGCCACCAAACCCACTCTCTGCCATTCGTGCGCCCAGGATGAAGGAACCAGAGCCGGCTACATCGAATCTGCTGTCTGTTTCAGGAGCTCCGCGTCTGCAAACGGGATCAATAACCACCGGTCAGAGTTACCAGGGTCAGCTCTTGGCACACTCAGAGCAAAGCTCGCAGTCGGCCAGCCAGAGCTTTAACCAGCAGCCGGAGAGGATCACAGAGCAGAGGATCGGCAATATGAGTGTCCAGCAGAGGGAGCAGTCCTCCCAGCTGCAGCAGCAATCGCAGTCGCAGTTGCAGAGCCAGACGCGCAGCCAGGTGGGCAATATGCAGATCGAGAGACGCCGCAAGGTCACCGAGGAGTTTGAGCGCACGCAGAGTGCCAAGACCATAGAGATACGCACTGGCACTCAGTCCGTGTGCCAGGCTCAGGCTCAAGCCCAGTCTCAAACCCAGTCGGACACGGAGCGTCGCTCTTCCTACGGCAAGACAGGTTTTGTGGCCAATCAGGCAAGGCGTCTCTCTGGATTGGAGCAGGAGATCACTAGCCTGACCAGCCAGTCGCAGGCCATCAGTGCCCGGGCTTCCACGCTGGGTGAAGGCTGCTTCCCTAATCTTAGATCGCCCACCTTTGACTCCAAGTTCCCGCTGAAGCCAGCTCCTGTGGAGTCTACAGTGCCCGGATATGGAGCAGCGCCAGCAGCCACCAGCAAGCTAGTGGCGCCTCCACCGGGATTCATCCTCCAGCAACAACAGCAGCAGCAACAGCAACAGAGATCCGCCTTCTCCGGCTACCAGGCCACCACTTCATCGGTGCAACAGAGCTCGTATGCAAGCAGCACGAAAGCCACCTCCTCATCGCTCTCATCCTCATCAGCATCTGCTTCAGTCGCATCAGCATCCGTCGCGAGATCGTCGCAAAGTCTAACCCAAGCTTCTGCTATTACTACTACCACTAATAACCAGGCCACATCGGCCTTCAGGAGCGCCAATGGCAGCAGCACTCAGCCTAATCTGGCCTCGCGGCCATCCATCGCTTCCATCACAGGTCCAGGATCAGCTCCTGCCCCTGCGCCCGCTCCAGCTCCGGCTCCGGCTCCGGCTAGAGCTATGGCTCCTCCATACAAAGCGCCAATTGCTCCGAAATCGGTGATAGCCAATGCCGTGAAAGCTGCTGCTCCGCCCGCTGCGCCCGTTGCTTTTCCGCCAAATCTAAGCGATCTGAACTTGAACTCTAATGTGGATGATTCTGCAGGTGCCGGTGGCAAGAGCGGTGGTGTCTTCGGTGCCACCTCGGCGCCCAAGCGCGGCAGGGGTATCCTGAACAAGGCGGCCGGACCCGGTGTGCGTATCCCACTATGCAACAGCTGCAACGTGCAGATCAGGTGAACAAGAGCATCCCAGCGTTCAATATTTGATGTTTTTTGATATTTCTGTGTTTAATTTGTTGTTGGGAATGATTCTTAACCCTTGAAAAACAATCTTTAAGAGATTTTTAAGGGTTCCAAGAGGTATCCCTTGGGATATCCTTACTTTAAGTTAATTATTGTTTATATTTACCAATTAACCAAGGCATTTTTTGTTATATCTTTTATTTTAATTAACTTTAAGTGTTCTTTTTGGGATCAGCTTCCTACTGAAAAGCTTGATCTCACCCAGATCCTCACTAATTCGCATGATTTTAAACCTAACCCAATGCCGCCTGTTTTGTTTGCAGTTCCCACAGGAGCTCCTGCCGCTGTCAAGGCCACTAATCCGCATGCTAATCCGCAAACCTATGCCACCTTGCCACGACCCCAGCCTCAAGCAACTGACTTGGAGCCTCAGAAGGAGCCAGATGCCACCTCCATGCTGGCCGAATCCCTGGGCAAGATCAATATGGGTGACAAAACCAATGCCTTTATGCACGAAGCAGGCAAGATCATCAACAATATGTTGGAGGCGCGACTGGCTAACAATGGAGGACCTAGTGCTCCGCTCTCCCATGCAGGCAGCGCCCAGAGCCTGCGCAGCAACAGCAGCTCCAATCTCTCCAAGAGTCCCATGATTGTAAGGAAACGCCTAGATCTCGATGATTTCAAGAACCTAGATCCCACACAACCTGTGGCTCTGCAGCCTGTGGTGGCTTTGCATTCCCAAAAGGATCACGAGTTGGGCAATCAAAAGGCACAGGCACAGGTTCCTCGAGTGGAACAAACCCTGCAGATGGAACTGCCTGCCCAGCAGCATCCCATGGGTAAAATACTTGATCTCTGTGACGGTGGGAAGGCCATAGATGCACCCGAACCGGTGGCCTTTAGGAATAATTTAAGACGCACTGGCGCCAGTCATCATGCGGCTGACAGGAGATCCTACATAGAGCCCAAGCTGCCAGCTGCACCCACTCCTAACAATCAAAGTGTGAGCCAGAATGGCAATCAGAATAGTTCGCCCACGTATTGTGTGTCTGTGAAGGCTTTGGGACCTCATAGCGAGGATCAGACCACCATGTCGGAGGAGAACGAGAGGGCAGTAAGTCAGTTGCTCAAGGAGGGTAAGAAGCCAGTGTGCTGTCAGTGCAATAAAGAGATTACCTCGTAAGTACCAGCCTTGCCTTTGTTTCTTTGTTGAGTTTTTTTTTAATATTTCATTTTATTTTCTTGACTAATTTAATTTTATTTAATTTACAGAGGACCCTTTATCACGGCTTTGGGCAAGATCTGGTGCCCGGATCACTTCATCTGCGTGAACGGCAACTGCCGTCGTCCCTTGCAGGATATTGGTTTCGTTGAGGAGAAAGGTGACCTGTACTGCGAGTACTGCTTTGAGAAGTACCTGGCGCCCACCTGCAGCAAGTGCGCTGGAAAGATCAAGGTGGGTTTTTGGATTTACCAAGCTTTTTATAATTATTTTAATAAATATTATTTTTATAGGGTGATTGCCTGAATGCCATTGGCAAGCACTTCCATCCGGAGTGCTTCACCTGCGGCCAGTGCGGCAAGATCTTTGGCAACACGCCCTTCTTCCTAGAGGATGGCAATGCCTATTGCGAGGCCGACTGGAACGAGCTGTTCACCACCAAGTGCTTTGCCTGCGGCTTCCCCGTGGAAGCAGGCGATCGATGGGTGGAGGCCCTTAACCACAACTATCATAGCCAATGCTTCAACTGCACGGTAAGTGATCAAGAATCTTGTCTAAACTGTTTGGGATATGTTTTCATTGACTTCCTTTTGATTCTTACAGTTCTGCAAACAGAACCTGGAGGGCCAGAGCTTCTACAACAAGGGCGGACGTCCCTTCTGCAAGAATCATGCACGCTAAGTCACCAGCAAGCTGATATTGTTTGACTTTCAGGGATCACGCACACTTAACCATCAACTATCTTCACCATCTAAGGATACCAGCTCGCTTGCTCGTATCTCAAGAGCTTATAATTGCAATTGTCAGAGTGAATAATGCGTAATTATTATTATTTTCTATTTGTTTTTTGAATTGTGCCCACAAATATGTTATCCTAATTTTAAATAATCAACGAATCACAGTCTCAAACAAAAAATTGTAAAACTGCAACAAAAAACGACACGAAATCGAATTAGCTAGCAAATTACACATCATACACACATATTATATTATTTATTTGAAGCATCATAACCGCCGAAATATATCGATCCCACGCCTAAATATTGTATGTACTGTGGGCCAGAGTTGATTTACCTGAGCCTTGAGCAAGAGGAAAACTAAAGGTTGCTTAAATACTATTATTATTTCTAAATTTTATGTTGTAAATTATCCATAATCTGATTGTAAACGAGTGTAAATTGTAAATGATCATCAGCAAAGTGAATAAATTTCGAAATCTTTAACGCGTTTAATTAAGGGTTTTTCATTATCCTTAATATTCTTAGTTAATTTTCATTTCACATGCGGAAATGGGGAAAATGTAATGTAAATGTAGAAATGTCATAATCGTTGGCAACTTCCGGTTTGCTGGGCACACGAATTCCGCCGGCTGCCTGAAAGTATGCAACAGTTTCGCCTGCGCACGCACACACACACACATACTTACTTACCCTGCTGGCAATTTCATGCTTAACCAATTTTTGTTGGTTTCATTTGAGCCTGGTATTTTGTTGTTTTCTTTTTTTTTTTTTTTTGGGCCTGCTCTGAGGTGTGAGCCGAGTTTGTTTCGCATTTTTCCGTGCGGTGTTAATCGCTGGGAAGGCAACCCCCACCTCGGAGAACAAAACTTCACAGGGCTCTGACGATGGCAGCAAAATTTACGCTAGATTAAGCAGGATCGGGACGTGTCCACCCCCTCCCTTTTGCCAGGGGGGAGAAAGAAAAACAATTTGGGGTTTTTGTGGCATTTTTCAACGATTTGTTGGGCTTTTTTATTCTCATGTTTAGTTTACGTCGCCTTGCACATTACAGGAAAGGACTTTTAAGTTAGTTCTCGCTTGTGTGAGTGTGTGAGTGAGTGAGTGAGTGAGTGTGTGAGTGAGTGTGCAGGACTCACGAGCACAATTAGTCGTAACTTACATATCATTAGGGGTAGGTCTACCTATTTTGTTTGTGCGAAACGCATTCAGAAATCGAAATCGACATCGAAGTTCAGTATTCAGTTGGATATTCGTGGTTTCCGAAATTGCGCGCCAAATTTGTCACCGTAGCGTTCCGTTGCGAAGAATGCGTATCCCGCGGATACGCATCTCTACATACACTATATACTTAGTTCTTCTCTCGTTCTGGGTTTATCAGTTTAGTTGCTAGAAATGCATTCGTATTCGAAATTTTGTATTTACAATTCGATAGGTCTTCCTTTCGTTTTCGTCTTCTTGTTTTTTTAACATTTTTGTTTTTTTTTTGGGTACTTTAATACTTCAATGGGTAGAGAGAGGCGTAGGTATAATTGCATGTATCTAGAATTCGTAATAACTACGCTGCGCATCTGCTTAATGCTTACAAAAATAAATTCAACACATTCAAGTACAACAAACATCTTACAGCTTAGGTTACAAGTATATATGTAGGGGTTACATTACATTCATTAGGAGCCGCTGCCGCAGCTTGAGTTCCGTACAAATAAATACCTTTGGGTTAACGAGTGTCTGAACGATGCTACGGATCGCTACAGATGCGCCAATATATCGATCTGATCGAGTCCGCTGGCCTGGCCAGCTACGTTTGGAGTCTGCGTTTGGCTGTGGCTATGACTCGCTCCAGGAGACTGTGAAATGGTCACAATGGTCACCAGATCCTTGCTCTTGCTCTTCGCCGGCTGGGATTCCCGTTCCCTCTCCGTCACCCTGTTGGATGACTCTATCTCCACAATGGCCGAGGTGAGCAATGTATTCGACTGCAGCGCCGTGTAGTCTGGCAATTGCTCCACCACCGATGGCTCCGGCATATGCACATCCTCATTGGCCAGCAGTCGTCCGGATGGTGCTGTCTCTATATTCCGCTCGCCGCACACCAGACTCGCGGGCGTGGCATTACGGGAACGGTAGCTGGGCGGCAGGCTGTACTCTGAACCGCCCATGCTGCTGCTGATGGTGCCTCCAGCGCCGCTGCCTCCTCCTCCTCCTCCGCCTATTCCCGAGCGCAGGGTGGTCAGTGGAGCCCTGCAAGTAAGTGAATCAAAGGCATGAATTATTTACACATGAGCCAAAGTCAATCCGGTTTTGTTTGCCCTTTTTTGGGGAGGAACGACATAAGGAGATGGCAAATATGTTAACCAAATGCACAAATTTGCATCTCAGGAAAAGGAACTGTCTGGGCTCTGGCTAGGGCTTAGGGTCTTTGCTTTGAGATATGTCTATTTAAAGTTAAAGTGAAAGAAAAATGTATAATATAATTTAGCAATATATAAAAATAGTACAGGAGTTAGAATTATTACAGAATTATTAATTTGAATTGACATCGTTAAATAAACTAACTAAACTCATTCCTAGGCTGTTCTTCTTCCAGCAAAACCCAAAAAATTCTTTCTAAATTCAATTTTTAGTACAAAATATATTCATAAAACACCTAAACCTATTTTCTATATATTTTTAATATATTTAATTCTCTAAACTCTCGCTTCCCTAGAGACTTTTTAATTATTCAATTACTTAGTTTATTTTTGCAGTGCCCTCAAGTGTTTTCAGTCATCATGGAATATTTGATGAACCTTTCCCTTTTCTCCTATATATATCTACACATATATGTATATATCTGCGTGTGTGGATTCCCTATATTCTCATCTTTGTCAATTTAAATAACAAAAGGCCGCTGTGGCAATTGTTGCCATGAGCACGACCAAAGCAGGGGGGATGGGGCAGGCAAAGGGATTTCAAAGGGGCTCAGAGAGACTTCCAAGTGGGGGAACACTAAACCCAAATCACAGACAATTCACACTTCAGTCGGCAGAGCACAAAAGTCAACACTCAAACGCTCATCTGCACATAATGGCAGACGGAGGAAAACAGGGCGTGGTGGGGTGATTTCTTCTCAGGGCGCCAGGACTCCAGGACTCCTGAAGCAAGTCACACACAAATTGTATGAAGCAATTTGGAGTATGTAAAATTGCATTTAATTGTTCCGACAAAGATGGCTCGAGCGAAAGGAAACCGGACAGGAAAGTAAGTCATCGTTGTCGTCCAGGAATCGGGCCTATCTATATGTTGGCCTCCATTGTCCTTGATGCGATGCGATGTGCTGTGCATAACAGGCAATTTTCGCAGCACTTTGGCCGGCTCTTTGTTTGTTTAATTGACTTGGCCAGCAGCTAGCTAGAGGGAGCTGGTATCCCTGGACAGTTGCCCTCAGCTCCCCCTCTCCCTGTGTGACATTTGCCCATCTCTGTTCTGCAGCATCTCTCTGCTTGTTATGCGGCTTGGCAGGTCCTTCAGATGTGCGCGCGTGTGTGTAAATATTTTGCAAAATTTCCACAGAATTCTTTACCAGCTTGGGTCCCTCCTAAAAGTATGCTGTGATTTCTTGCCGCACACTTTGCATAAGTTTTGCTTTTTGACATACTTCCCCTGGCGGTGGGGCGCTCCTTCCGTTTCCGCTCGGAAATCAGCTTTGCATTGCCCACATTATAAATATTCCAGCGTGTGGTGTGTGTGTGTGTGTGGGTAAATTAATTTGTCATAAATACTCTGCGTTACGTTACGCTACGCTTTTATTTGAATACGTAATTTGTAGGCAATAAAACTGAACTTTTCTCATTAGCCCAACATTATGCGTTCCGGGGCGATAATTATTCCACCACCATTTCCACTCCTAAAGTGTCCTTGTGTGTCATTTAAATTGCCTTTTGTGTGACTCACGATATTTTATTTCCAAGGATATGGGATACGGAGGGCAAAGGCAATCGGACTGCTCATATATATTCGGGGAGGATTGCCTTATCTCTTCAATTAGTTGCCGAATCAATTGCCGAGTGTGTTTGCTGACAATCTGTGCGAGGCTTTCAAGTCATCCATGGGACTGGGGCGGAAAAATCGAAAATAACCCCCCCAAAAACGGAAAACTTTTCGGTTTTCGCCCCCCAAAAAGCGATGTGTCAATGTTGACACCCTCAGAAAACCGCACAAAGCCAAACCAAAGACTCAACCGTCCCCCCCAAAAGATCCCAGTTCACAATCCCACCCAGATCTCGCATCTCTCTCGCATATCCCGCCCACCGATTTCCTTTGGTCTGGAAAACATTTTGCGGTTTGGCAGGCGCCAAACTTTGCAAATAACTCACGGTTGAGGGAGAGGAGGGAAAGGAAGCAGGAGTGGGGACTATACAAGGACTGTACCGGAAACGGAAGTACTTACCTCAGCAGGCTGCCCGCATGAGATCGATAAGTGGGCGGCGGCGAATTTCCACGCACCACGCCATTCTGGCGATCGCGGTCCAACAGCAAAAGTCTGCGGGAAAAAGAGAGAAAAGCGGAAAAAGGATTCGGTTGAGTAGTTGTAGATGTGCCTGGTTCACGACAGGAAAAAGGCGGCCAGAAATGAGAGTGGGAAAATTTAAGGGAAGTGGACACGGGGAAATAGATGCACTGAGAACAAAGGAGAAGGTATTTTATAAAACTTCTTAATAAATATTAAGGAATTTAAAACTATAAAAAGAATAATTTGTATGTTTTAAAGCATGTTTTAAATATATTTAACAGGGAATATAACTAGTTTGGACTTGAAATTATTGTCTACTTTAGTTTTTAATATTTTCCAAGCTTTCCTTTTTTCCTCAGTGTACCTACAAAACGCTCTGGCCGCTGGATAATTATGCATAATGCAATTAATTGCGTCAGGACATGCGAGTGGCGGACGAAAGCCGCAGGACCGCCACCAACTGCTGTCCTTGCGTGTAATTTATGCACCAGCAGTTCGCTGGCACTCGCACGCCTACTAATACAGGACTCCCCTCCCATACTCCTCCTGAACTTTACACTCACCTCAACCGGTACTCCTGCATGCTGGCCTGATACGAGGGCGGCGGCGGTCGGTGCTGAAACTCCGGATAGAGCAGCCCGTGGGGTGCTCCTCCTCCGCGGCTACAGGGCCTACGGCCACAACGCCCCAGGTCCACGCTGGTGCCCAATCCAATGCCCAGACAGCTTTGGCCGCCCGGCGCCGTCATCCGCCAGGCGGCGCCGCTTACCGTCACCAGCACAACGCCGACTCCTGGAAAAATTCAAAAGAGTGGTGGTTGGCTTAATTTCAGAGAGCTAGAGTTTGCTAGAGTAACGCCCTCCTCCAAGTGCCCCGACAATTTCCATTTAGCGGCCGATTTAATTAGCCCCCCCCACTCACAAAGGGGGGCGTGGCCGCAATTACGGACTCGCTTAAACCACCAAATCCAACGCGAACTGCGGCTCTAGGCTTAAGTGGTAATACCACCGCACAGCAGCGACTTTAAAGAAACAATCAATATTTATGGGCTTTCGTTTTATGAAAGTGGTACATAGTAGAGATCGTAAAAATGGTAAAAAGGGAAAAGTTTAAACTTTAAGCAGGATTTATGCAATAGTTTTTCGGTTAAATCGAAGAATTAAAAAGAGATTACTTGGTAACAAGAAAGGAGGCTAACTTTGGAAAGGTAAAAATTGTATACCTTTTGAAAAAGACTCGCCTGTTGATGCTGATCAAGAATATATATGATTTAGAGGGTCTAAAATGTCACCTTCACTGTGTGGCAAAAGCATAAAAAACCGCAAATGCTTAGGACCTTTCGGCATTTTAACTTAGACTTTAGAAAAGGTTTTCTAGGTTTAATTTTCCACTATCAAATTTGTATTGAAAATATTGTTCAAAATCTTCTCTTTCCAGAGCTCTCACTCTCCTTTTCCCTAGACTTAGTTCCACTCAACCTCCAGCTTGTCTCTAATCATGCCCCTCCGACTTTCACTTTTACTCCTGGCACTCACTCGGGCATGTCAACATGGCAAATTTGTCGGCTTGGCATACGATTTTATTAGCGAAAATTGTCATGAACATTGTGACATCTTGCCGCAAAAGCCAAAGACCTCGCCCATTGTCATCATCACGATGATGATGATGAGGGGACGGAGACTCTCCCTGCTCCCGGCTATTCCAACTACGACTCCATTATGCCCTGAGTTGGAGATTTGCTGACTGGCTGCCTTGATTGCCATTAAATTATGTAAAATGCTGCCGCACACACACACTCTGTATACTGGAAACTGAAAACTTTTGGGTAATTGCCGCCGAAAATGGCGCAATGTCACGCTTCGCAAGCGCTAAACTAAACGCGCCGGCAATTGATTAGACGTCGCATACGAGAAACCTCGTAAAGTGAGGTAGACTCTGCACTTGGCCCCGCTTTCTGTGGTTACGTAATGAATGAATGAATGATTCATGAGTGGCCCCAAAAAGTAGCTAGAATCGAATTGCAAAAAAAGCTACCTCCCAAGTGCATTTAATTCCTGGTTAACCTTCCTCTCCCTCCCATCATCACCTGTTGAGCTAGCCAAATAGAGCGTTGGCTTGGCCAAAGAAATCGCAAACGGAACTAAATGCTCTGTTAATATTGACAGTTGGCTTGTCTGGCTGCAAATTTGTTTGTTCTTCGAACTGGGTCAGCAGATGTATAGTAGCAGTCTCTTGTGCTCGCACAAAGCCAGTTCAGGTACACAGACACCAGACAGACACAGACACTGGGGCACCTCCTCCTCCTCCTCCTCCTACTCTTTTTTTTTTCAAATGAAAAACCCAACAGCAAATGGCATTTATAATTGTAACAATTGTGAACAAACACACGGAGCAGCGGCCTTTTCACCGGCATATTGAGGGGGAATTTCCACCGCCTTCCATGACTTGTGTAAACATCAGCGAATGGTGGAAACATCAAAAGGCGCTCGTCGCCGACTTTAATGCCATTTTCCCTCAGCTCGATATTTGCCAGATTGTGTAATCATGACCAGTTTACTTTAGCACTCGACAAATACCAAAATGACCCAGCCATTTGCCATTAAATGTAGAAAATCAGCTTAAAACATTAAATCAGCCTTGAAAGGGAATATATTTTGTATGGGGGAGACCCTCCTCTGTACCTCTAACAGCGTTACAAATTGGAGTTGCCATTAAAAGGAAGACATTTTATGGGAGGGAATGTATAAAAGTTGTGAAATACATTTGTTTGTTTAGTTAAATAACACTGTAAAAATGTACTGAGAAGTATATTTTAGCTAGCACAGCTTTTAAATTTTAAAGTGAATTATGTTTTGCAAATGATTCTTATTCTTACTAGCTAAAAAAAATTTATAAAAATACTTGTTATCAACAACCATTTACACTGAAATCACTAGAGTTTTAAAAATCTTTAAAAAGGTGTTTAGAATTATTCTACAAAAGCAATGCTCGTAAAAAACGGAAGAAATTGATGTGGAATTTGGTACCTAAAAGATTTTATTGCAAACATTTAGACGCCTTAAAAGAGATATTCTATGTCACTTGTGATTTCTGCAGCATCCTCATCATATAAATAATATTTTAAATAGTTGACACCATTTCCCCCTAAGTTCCCTATTTACAAACAGCATAAAATATAATTTTTTTCCTGAAAACCCACATAAACTTAAATTCATGACCATAAAAAATCTAGCTGATGTAAAAATTGAAACACTCATAAATTCCATACTTTTTTTTATGCAGCTATACTTTAGATACTCCGGCAAAAGTTTCCCTGCCCCTATAAATATATTTTAGAACAAATTTATAGATAGCCATAAAAGTCGCACTCACCAATCATTAGCAGGGCGGCCGTTAGGTGGGAGTTGGGCGGTCCGGCCAGTCCCGTGGCGCCCAAGGCCGCTCCGCCAAGGGCGCAGGCCACGCCCCCCAGGGCAACGACGGCAATGAGGGCGCGTAGCGGCGGTCCAGCGAACCACTGGCCGCAACAGCCTTTGCCGGACCTCTCCGAGGGGGATCTGGAAAAGAATAGAAATGGCAAACAGATTTTCAGCGAGGCTGTTTTGGCAGCTGGAAAATGACAAGAAGGAAAAACGAGTCGTGCAAAGCGAGGAGCAGGTGGGCAGGCAGGATGGTGAAAGGACAACAGATGTTTTCGTCCGCAGCAAATTGGCAAAAGGACCAAGGCAACAGCGTCTCGTGCCAGGAGTAGAGTATAGGATACCTTCTCAGTCTTTCGCTTGGTTTTCCCCTACACAAAAGCGCAGCGAGTGCGCAATTGTTGTAATTTGATGATTTATGAGGCAAAAGACCAAAAATTTGCGCACAGCCCGCCGACACGAAACAAGCTGAAGCTAAAAGGGATTGGATCGGGCATCCTTCGGCGGGCATCCTTGGCAGACGACGTAAAATATTTTGCAGCCGAGAAGAAGGGACAATTTATGCGCCGCAGAGCCAGACACTGGCACCGGCGACAAAGGCAAAAGGACTCGTGTGTGTGTGTGTGCGTAAATTCATTAGGATACGACCAGGAACGGAGACGGAGGCGAAGCAACCCTTGCCAAACAATTAGAGGAGGAAATATTTATGGGAAACGAGGTAGACAGAGATGGAGTTGGTGGAAAAGCGTCTGGCGCTTTGTTGCTTGTGTCATCGAAGCAGCTCCATACACACACAAAAAGATGATAAATTGTTGGAAAATTACGTGCACAAACATACATCCGTAAACATGGGCCAACCGGAAATTTATGTTTAATAATTTGATGCTGTTCTCGCTGGCCAAGGATTTAATATTTTTATGTGCCGAGGGTTTCCCTGGGAAACCCAGCAACCTGGTTGTATTTTTTGGGTCCCTGGCCGTGGGGTCTTTGACACCCGTAGTAATGCGGCAACATGAATGTTTCATCAGCTGTCGTGTCATGATAAATTTGATCTTTTCATCGCCGGCTCATCATCCTCGCTCGGAAATGAGCGCGCAGAAAAATGCCAAGTCGGAACAATACCTCAGCTCTCTGGCTGCTCTTTCAAAAACTTCCTAATGACATGCGTTCCCAGATCTTGGTTCTTTATATAACTTAAACTCTTGGATCTCTCCCCTAGTGCGGCACTTTTGAATCACTGGCCCCATGCGGTGACAAAAGTTCAACTACATCGATGTATCTTCTCAGCTGGAAGAGCCGTCGACTTGCCCCCCCATAGCGATCGAGTGCTGCTAAGCAGCGGATGATTGATTAGCTACAAATTAGAGGCGTACCAAAATCGGAGAATCTCAGTCTATATCCATGCCCATTAGCATTTGCATTGCCATGTGAGAGAGGCCTCATTAAAACTCATCGTAGTAAATCGCACTGGCATGCGAGCAAACACTGCAACTGCGCACTTGTTAAAAAATGAATAAATAGTATTTAATGGGGGGTTAAAAAAACACAGAAAGAAATCTTTAAGAGTTCTGGAAGAAGCTATGGAAGCTATGAATAATTTATAAATCAAATAAATGCCTAGAAATGGATGAAATCTTCAAAGCAACTTGTCTATGCATATATAAATCTATCAGTATATATGCTAAAATATTTAACTAACAAAATTTGCAGTTTCAACTTTACTTTTCAAGAATTTAAATTGAGAATAAGTTAAAAAAAATATCCATAAATAATTTATATATCAAATAAATACAAAAACATAGATAACATCTTTAAATCAACTTGCTTCTGCATTTAAAATGTATCAATTTATATTCTTAATACATTTTCACAGCTCAATTTTCCCTCAGTGCCCCCCTATAACCACCATATGTTCGGGGTCTGTTCCAACTATGTAGTTCAGGGTCAGCCTGGGCTTTATAAGTCTAAGCGAAGGCTTAGAAGCTACTGGCGAGTGTGTGCATCGGCGAGCCAGTTCAGTATTCAGTTAAGTCAGTCATTCAGTCACTCAGTCAGCGCAGTAATTATTCAATCAGGCGGCTGCATTTAATTTTCATTTATTAATTGCAATTTGTAATTGCCAACAACATTGACACAGTTCCAGGGGCGAGCGAGTGTATTTATTTACTTGTATTTTTCGCCGCCCGCCGTCGATTACTTATCGCTGAACTTTCATTTCTGCAGCAGAGAGTTTCCATTTAAATGGCGGCACTTCCGTTTCCTTTGCTCCTCGCCGCCGCCGCCGGCTTTCCTTTCCGGCAGCTGTCAGTTTGACATTTGCATGCGAGTGAACAACAGTTTCCAATTGATTAAGCAATTTGCAGTGCGACACAGACAAAGACGGCTTCATTACGATAAGGCCCAGCAGTGGGATTTTTTTTTGTATTATTATTATCAACGCCAACTTCCGCTGGCAACTATCAAAAGCGAGAAAATATATTCATGTTTTTTTTACAGCTCGCACCCGCAGCCATTAGCAGAAGAAGGCCTAATCAAAGTTTAATGGAAATTTAATTTTATTTATCAGGCAATTTCCCGAGCATCGCTCCTTCGTGAGAAATCAAATGAAAGCGCTGTGGAAAACTAATTAAATGCGAATGGCAGACAATGAAAGCGAAATTCGTGTTGAATTTAATTTACATGAATATTTGATAATTTATTTAATACATTTGAGGCTTTTCTTTTCGCTCTCAGTTACAGTTTCTGTTTCAGTTTCAGTTTCAGTTTTCCTTTCTTTTCACCTCGACTTATGTAATTAAATGTGGAAAATGAGGCAATCACGGCGGGCGGCAGCAAATGAAAATAATTAGCTGGAAAAGCACATTAACATTGGCACATTGGCACACACACAGCACCCCAAGTAGCCTGTGGAAAAAATCGAAAACTACCGGAGAGCCAAGGCTCTCAAATTTCTGGCCCAGTCACTGACAAAGCGAATTTCTGGCTGCAGCTGGAGTACGGATTAGGCCACAAAAACCCATTTTCAACTTTCAATCACAGAGTTTCCCTTTGCCCCAGCCCAGCAGCTCCCAGCTTCTCGAATGAGGGCATAATTACAGCGCGCTTTTCAACTTTGCCGCAGTTCTGATTTGTAATAGTAACTTTTTTTTTTTTTGGTTTTTGTTTGGCGTTTTTGCTCCCTCATTGTTTTGCGGTCTTTTGTTGTTTTGGCAAGGGTTTCGGGTCTTCAACTAAGTACAAGCTGTGTTAATTTGGGCAGACATTTGGGGGAATTGCTTGTTCTTCAGGCTAACGTTGAGGGATTTTGAGTTCAAAAGATTCGAGGGAAAAAGCACAGAGAGAAAAGCTACATCTTCAAATTACATATATAAAATATTTTTTATATTTATTTATTTATACAACACCTAATCTTCTCACCTAATTGAAAAATAAAGACAGGCCTAAATGAATTCATGTTATTTTCTGTGTGGGAAACTTTTATAAATAATTTCTACACCTCTCTCTCTAATAAAGAAGATCGCTGCGGTGTTCTACTATTAAATTTCATGACACTGCTGTAGCTTTGAAATGCCATAGAAAAGGCGGCTGAATAAATGCCCAAACACGCTTCTTTTTATACACACAAAAAAAGGAGAAAAAAAGAGTGTATGTGTGGGTTAAAGAGACATAAAATGAAAACCAGTGGCAATAGAGACTCGGGCTCAGAACATGACATTCACCCGGCATTAAAATCGCAGTTGAGACTGTTTGTTTGCCGCATATATATACATTATATATATATATATATATTTGTATATATAAAACCATATAAAAATGAAAGCAAACAGCGAGACTCGCAGACGGCAATAAAATATCCAAGCGAAAGAGACAAAGTTACGTTGGGTGTATGGCACTCGTGCTGCTATATAGGTGCCAGCCGTACTCTACTGAGTACAAGTAGTACTAGTATCTGAGAGTGTGAGTATCTGCGTATCTGAGTGTAAGTATCTCTGTGTGTAGTATATGGGGAGTACGATTTCACACAGAGCCGCAGAAACTTCTGACCTACTAACTGCCAAAGACGGAGAGCGAGTCTGTCTCTAAACTTGGGCAACGTTTTTCCAGTTAACTGCAAACGCTTTGACGCTTGACTGATGCCGGAGAGACCCGAAAACTAAGAGACTTCAAGTCTTTAATTCAGAGCCACCTTAAAGAGCCCAGAGCTAGGCTAGGCTGGCCCAGGCTAGGCTCTTCCTCTGTCTTCTGGCCTCTATCCTCTGTCTTCTGGTGGGCGTAACTCGAGCACACGACTTGATAGCGCCCCGGAACGGAATGGAGAACGGAGAACGGCTATCTGCCAGTTGAGTTGTCGGAGGAGTTGCCTCCAACTCAAAGTACGAAGTCGGAGTTTGGCTGACACGCTCCACTCCCCCGCATTCTGGCATGAGCCAAGTGAGCTTTTAATGCGAGTGTAAAAGATTATATGGCAAAGTTGGCGCTGTCCATTGACTGCGGCGATAGATGCACTCAGAGAAATATATATGGGTTTATTCAAAGGGAATCTTTTGCTTTTCCTTACAAGTATCTTAAGGATTTTCTCAGGTATTTTTAAATTAAATGGGGTTTCTGGAACTTGCAAGACTCTTAAAATTTTATCTAAAAAGGGTTTTCTATTATTCTATATTTCATATACTATATTTATCGATTTTTCTTTTAGTTTATCTTTATAAATTACTAGATTCTCGTGTTAAAAGAGTTTCTTTACTCATTTAAAATTCATTTTATATAATTTTAAACTATTTTTCCTGGTGCACTTGGTGAAATTTCGCGTAGCTCTTAAATTTAGAACTCTTTCGCTGGGTTGTGACACCTAAAATTAAATTTCGTTGGAAATTTGCTGGGCAGTAATTTCAGATGACACCCAAAACTTTAGATGCTCCTTGGAATGAGATGTCTTTAAAATTTTGGCCAGTAATTTCGTGGAAAGTACTTGCCCTGACAGCTAAAATTTAACTTGCAGGTGGAAGAGATTTCTTACAAAATCCTTACGAATTTTAGTGTCCAGTACATTTTGTTTAAAGTGCAACTCTGCAGACAAAGTTTTTGGCCAGCGTTTATTGCCAATTTTTGGATGCATAAAATGCCAGAGTTTGCCAGCA